GGTGAGAACCTTAAGAAATGTAGAAATTGTTATTTCTTTCATGAGGATTATGTATTCAATAGATTGCTGTATTATATTCCTCTCACGGTCCCCATCTAAACTGTCCCTTAAATTCTGTTCCTTCTTTCCCAGCCGCTTAGGACATCGCGTTATAATAGAAAGGGCAATATCAAGCTGGCTAAAACCAAATGAAGCTCGCTGATTTCAACAAGAATAGATGGGCAATCCTTAAATGGTAGAAAAACATTGTGATTTTAAGTGACCTCAATGTGGTATGATAGTATAGTTTCCAGGTTGCATAGTTTCGGAAACCTTTTTTTTTATCCCATCTAATACACACTACCATGTGGATCCGCCAACCTTCCTCATTTTAGGTGACTTTTTTTTCCATTGCTGACCCTGTCCCTTACCTAAGGGTGAGTCTGTTAATCGCTTTATCTAGGCCTCATTTCATTTTAATCATCAGAGGACGGTTTGGATATGTAGAACAGGCATTGACTAGAGCATCTTAGGTATCGTCCATTCCAAAGAGCATGCATGGTTGCAAATGAAATGTTAAAAGAGGAATCAAACATTTGCTAAACTGACGGCATGTAAGCTACCCTACTTTACGCTGACTTTTACAGTTTCTTACTTAGTGATAGAGTAGTGGTAAAGATGGATCGCTTAGTTTTAGATTTCTTGGTGCTCGGTTCAAGCTGCGAGATAACCTTACACTACACAATGACTCTTTAATCTGATTTCAGTACTGAAAAACGGTATTATCAACTGGGCATAGTTCAACTACATTTGTTCTTGTAGGATACCTAATTGTTTTCTACTCAATGACATGAGTTTACCACCATCATTAAGAGATATGGGTATTCAAATGAGACGTCATCCGCTAATTTCAAAAAACAAAAAAACACCAAAACCCAAAAGCAAAGACAAACGAACAAAAAGTACTTCCAAGACAAGGGTGTAATCTTCACTACCTAGAGTTTCATGTTTTATCATTGAAATGAGGATTAACTACTTACTAACACAGCTCAATTAAAGCACCCCCATTGGTCAATTTAGCATCCACTATTTGCGCTATTTGCGTCCACTATTTAGTACCCACTTTTGTTCTACATCATAATGTAAATATTTTATTCATCTACTTGTCTGTTATGTATTTACTCACATTCTGTTACTCATTGATTGAAGATGGCATAAGCATGCTGAAACATGTCTCTCAAAAAAGTTGTCTATTTCTTACAATATTTGAGCTTTAATTGTCACATCTCACAGATGTGATTTAAGGTTAATAAACAATTTGGTGTTCTCAGGCGCGTAGCGTCCCATACGCATATACTCACGTGCGTACTTCAAGTGACCAGAAAAGTTTAAAATTTTTAGCAATTGTTTCTATTTTTACGCTCAGTTTACTTAGGTTTCGAGATCATATGTACTTGTGTGTATTTGAAAAAATGACCACGCTACGTGCCTGGTTCTTAAAAGATTTAAAAACATTATTACCAGTAATGTAATGTTGCGTTTATATAAAGCTTTTATTCTACTACACTTTCAATATTGCTCTCTTGCAAGTACAATACAAGTGCAGTACATTGATTCATTTACCTGTTTGGCTTATTAAGTATCGCCTCTTCGCATGGCTGCGGACTCTGCACATTGCAGACTTTTAAGCCTTGCTTGGAGACCAAAATAATCCATTTTAAAGGACGATGGTCATACAGAAGAAGACATTCTTCAACTTAGCTTGGTCCCTAAGTTAACATTAACGTGAGCTTAGTAAAGTTAATGCTAAACAGCATCTTGAATGCTAGAAAAACAGTAGCCAAACAAAGCTACATTGACGCTGATCGATCGACAGTGTTAAATTCGGCATTGCTTCACTGGAATTTATCCCTCAATGATAATAACTCAGTTCTTAAAGTAAGGCGGGAACAATGCAGTTCCTTTCCTCTGAATTATATATTTAGGAAAGTGTTTCATTCGTTATTTTACTGAAAACACACTATTCAGAAATATGGCGTTACTGAAGTGCCACAAAAGTTACACAAGTGCCACAAGTTACATGAGTGCCACAAGTTACACGAGTGCCACAAAGTTACACGAGTACCACAAAAGTTGCAAGAGTGCCACAAAAGTTGCAAGAATGCCACAAAAGTTACATGAGTGCCACAAAAGTTACATGAGTGTCAGGTTACAGTAGTACCATAAGTTACATAAGTGCCATTAAAGTTACAGAAGTGCCACTGTAGGTTACACGAGTGCCACTTCAGGTTACATAAGTGCCACAGTGTGGTTACAAAAGTGCCTTTACGTCTAGCTCTCTCTCTCTCTCTCTCTCTCTCCAAGTTGCGTGACGAGACCAAACGACGACCTGCTCGTAGGTTAAAATTGTGCTTATTGCCGTTACTTCATCAGAGACAAAC